TATATATATATTTGAATTATTTCAAGTATGGCAAATGTTTCTATTAAATTATCTATATGCAATTTTATTATTTAAATATTTCCTTTATATGTAAACGAATTTCAATAAAATAATATAAATATATTTATGGATTGTATATGGATTTAGGGTGCACTTTCTAAATAAACGATCCATTTGTTTGTTTCATTGAATAAAATTAATGATAAGAATACCGACTTGAACATCGTTTGAACTGCAACGATGGTATTGCAATCTGCCAAAGTATCTTCCTCCGCAGAATTGCTTAATTCTTTGTTCACTACGACAACATTTTCCGCCAATGTGATGCCGGCACGAAGTAAATCATCCAAACAATCGATCGATCCCAACATCCAATATACCAAAGGGAAATACGACACAGCATCCAAAAAAGCTATTTCAGGTCTTCTCTCCAAAAGAAGTATTATCGGATTTAAAGATGTTTTAGATCTAAAATAATAAAGTAAAGGTAAACACGTAATTTAGTTTTAAAAAGAAGATTTTTCGGAATTACAGTGAAACATATTTTATAGAAGTACATTAGATATTTTTATTTTTTTACAATTAAATTAAAAACGTCTGAACGATTAATCGAAAGATTGCTTGAAAGGTTTTAATAATCGTAATTAAAAGTTATATTTTACCTGAAATGAGCTCGCAGAGGAATTATAAAGTTGTAAATTCCATTACTCGCGTAATCGGCGGCGAGAATGATCGTTTTGTTCTGCCAGTTATATTCTTTAGCGTTTCTATAGGTGCAATGTTCGCAAACCTGTATGAGGGTGGGGAGAGTGCATCGAAAACATTTAATTATTACTTACACGAGAATTTATTTTATGTTGTGTGTTTGTTTTATTTCAATAAATATATTATATATTACTCTTATAATAAACCATTTTTTTTGTTTTTTTTTATTAAATATACAATCAAATGAATTTTAGTGAGAATAATAATAATACCTGAGCTAATTGCAGACAGCAAAGGGGTTTTTTTTCTTTCAAAAGGTAACACAAAGTAGGTGAAACCCCGATGAAAGGTGATACCGGTGGAAAACCCTTGACTATCCTGTAACAATTATCGATGGCCGATTAAATTTCATTGCTGCTCCTTCCCTTTCCTACTTTACTTTTAATGCGAGAATGTCGTCTCTGTTCAGTCGTGTTTCTTAATCTTTACGTTCTCGTAAAGAAAATATGTCAACGACGTAGACGTAGACGTAGACATAAACGACGACGACGACGACGACGATGATTTTGCAATTAACGTTTCATGAGAATAAAAAGTATCATAGAATTTTTGACACACCCACACACACACAGTCGTAATATATTAAACAAAATCATCGTCCTTCTAATGTTCTCGACAATTTTCATTATCAAATAAAAAAAAAAAAACAAAACCTCGTCAGTTAGCGTTCGGCGTACAATTATTATCTTCGTTAATGATTATATCTGTAATAAAAATCATTAACATAATATAATATAATATATATATTAACGACAAGCATTTTTCCTTAATTCGTGATACTAAAGTGCACTCTAAGAAAATAGAAAACAAAAAGAAAGTAATAATAATTAGAATTAATAAAATAATGCATTGAAATATTAGAAAAAAGCCAAATAATTATGATACACTCGTGTAAAGGATTTGATCGTCTATGACGTAACTAAAAATATATCATCTAATAATAAATATTTATAGACATATATATATATATATATAAATTCGTGAAGAAATGAATGAACGAACAAACGTATGAATGAATGACAAGAAATAAACGATAAACTCACCCTTTAAATCTGTAGTCAGATGTGGATAAGTAGAAGTAGTAGTAGTAGTAGTAGTAGTAGTAGTAGTAGAAGAAGAAGAAGTCGTGCGGCAACAAGACGCAGTGCACAAAGATGATGCAGGAAAGAAGACAGCAAAAATATCCACGAGGATTTTTTTATAGGGTGTCAGGCAGGACAGCATCGAACAGCGATACGACGGCACACACTCGGTGCCGTGAGTGGAACAAGTATTGAGATACATACATTGAAACATGACAGACACATCGAACCATCGAACGAAAACTTAAATAATTATACAATTATGGATTTGAGATTTATATATATATATTAATATTTATCTTTTATCTTTCTTAACACTTTGACTGCCACCATTGATCACACATTACGAATTATAATTTATTTTCTGACAGATGATCATTGATGACCCTCACCTGATCGTTTAAATTACTTACAATTTTAAAAAGTTTCAATCAAATTATTAATAAATGTGTCACAGGAAAGTTGGATAGGTTAAAAATGAATACTAGTCTAAATTGAATCAGTATTTTTTTGTGATTACGTGTTTGATTATAACAATTTTTAGGATATAACGATTTGTAAATGTTAAATGCAGTTTATTTTTTTAAATATAAGAATGTATGTCTTCGTAATAATATGTAAAAGACTCTGAATATTAACGATCGAGGTAATATTAAATCTTTTAATGTTTTATAATATGTATTTTTCGCAAAAAAGTCATAATAAAATTTCAGTTGCTGAAGAAGTCACGATGTAGGAACGAAACTCACGTTCTATCTTATTAGAACGAAATAACTTTCTTAATTTTTAACCTGTCCAACTTCCCTATGATACATTTATTAATAATTTTATTTTTGAACGACGACAAACAAATAATTGTTTCAATAAAAGTTGTTGTACACTTTAATAGATTTTTTAAAGATCAAACAATTACAAGTTTTTTATTGCAACGTTGAAAATAAAGAAAAAAAAAGCAATACTATTATACAATAACATATTAAATGAAATACGTGATTTTTGAGTGTGCCAGTCAAAATGTTTTAACCCTTTGACTACGGCAGAGACATTGAGATGCACCGACATAGGAATTCGATCTATTCCGAGAACGTATGCACTTTCATAAAAACATATTTCAATATAACAATCAAAGAAAATTGAATTTCTTTTATTTTATTTACACATTTAAAACAATTTAATAATCAATATTCTTGTCCCAACAGTAAATTAATATATATGAGTTTCAAAGGGAAAATTGAAGACAGTTAATAAATTTTGATGAACAAATTTATTTGATCTTGTTGAACGTTTCGTCCCTTACTGGGGACTTCCTCAGCAACTCGATCACCTAGTTCACGCGTCAATACATATTATTTTAGAGTCATACATTATAA